CTGTGGCCACTTAGAGCAGAGCACGGAGGAACTTGGACGCTGCCGAAGCAAGAAAAACAATTACGCGCTGCATGTGGTCATTTCCTTTTGCTCCTTTTAAGGACACGGTAAGCTGCGATAGGGTATGGCTACTATCTATGTTCCCCAGAAGAGGCAAAAGCGGCACTGGGATGGTATGATCACGAATGGCAAGGTGAGGGGTAGAATCACAGGTACTCTGGATCATCGCATCTGGTCCCAGCTGCCTTTGGAAATCCAGCTCCACATTCTAAACTTCTTGCCAGTGCCGGCACTTTGCCGTGGAAAGAGTGTCTGCAAGGCTTGGAAGTCCGCAATCCAGGGCACCAGAGCTCAAGGGCAGTGGTATATCATGGATGGTTACTGCAGTGTTGGGCTCTGTGATGGAAATTCCAGATCTCTTTCATGGAAGATGATTAAGATTTTCAAACCTTTGGAGGAAAGAACAGAACATATCTGTGTGTCTTCTGCCGGGTTTGTTCTCGCATACTTTATTTTGGACAGGTTACAAACTATAGTGGTGTTCAACCCCTTGAATTTAAGGTCCTTGGTGAAGCTGCCTCGACCACCTGGTTCTAACTTCATACTTTTCGTGGCAATCCAATCTTCAGTTGGTAGTGACCACAGGCCTTGGTTTTCTGTGGTTTGTCTCCGGGGAATCAAGCCAACGATGACAGGTGCACGCCATCTCGTTCTACAAGTTTATGATTCGAGAGTTCACAAATGGGTCTCGTCTTGTCGAGTATTCACAAGCAGAGATGAAATTGCCCAGGTTTCCTTTCATGACGCCACCAATTGCATGCTTCTACGGGAGGACAAGCTTTACTTTATCACGATCACAAAGAACAACACCAGGTCGCTCAAGTGTGTCAACGTGTGGGATTCACACGGCAAGGTGGCGACTTTGGCAACGTGGACGAGCCTTCCCATGGGCTTGCATCAAGAAACATACGACGCCCCATGCCGGTACAATAACACCTCACTTGTTTACTGCGCTGGTAAGTTTCTTCTTTTTCTTTTGGGATTTCTACATGTTTGTGATTACTGAGTTTCAGGAAAGCTGGTGCTTGCAAACTTGATTCCAGACAGTGTCGATGCACAAACCCAAGTTGGTTTTGTCTATCTGGATGAAGCATCCAGACAGTGGCAACCCTTGGCAACTATGCCTAGAGAGAATATGCCGGCAGAGCTTAGAAAAGTTGGGCTGCAAGCAGGCAATATGCGTGAGTGGAGTTTGATAGTGGCGGGAGGGGAGACGGAGATCACCTTGTTCATAACTCACTTAACGTTCGGTTGGGGTTGCATTTACAATAAGGAAACCGGTATCTGGCGACCAGCTTGTGGCCTAAGGTCCGAAGGTGGCATGCTGTATCCTTTCAAGCCATCATTCCATCCAGTCTCCATTTAGTTACTCCCATTAAAGTTGCTATTTTGTGGTGAAGAAATATTCATGAGAATGAGTATGGGAGGTGAAGAAATTCATAAAAACTATTTTTTTTCAAACAAATATCCTACATAAATACTTAATTTTTTAATACAACATTTTTTTCCAGGTTCCAGTTTTATTGTGAGGACATTCAACACAACAGCTCCCCAAATTCACAAAGGTAATTGCCCAGATATTTCATGTCACTAAACAAAACTCCACGACCTTGCAAAAGTTCTATTACAACCATCTTGCGACGGGCAGCCTCCAATTCATCTTCAAACGGATCTAGATCGTAAGGTTCTGGCTTGGCATAGAGCCAGGTTTGTTCTTACCACCTTTTCTTGAAGAATGGCGGGCAACACATCACTGGTGAGATTTCCGAGCTAAATTCTCCGAATTGACGCGAGGATCTCGCGTGATCCGGAAATTTTACTACTCACACTGGGCTGAAATTTGGTATTGATTTCTGTTAGAAACATTATCTATCAAACCACACCCGATTATCAGGTAGGTACATGGCTTTTTTTTTTTCTGGTACTGGTCACTTTTTCCTTCCATATCAGCCAGCTGGAGTTGTGGCTATAGAACGTATTGCGCTGAGAGAAATCTGCAGAATGCCAATGAAGTTATACAGCATTTGCCATGGACAGGGCGATCATTAAGCTTGAGAAAGCTTGGGAAATACATCTTTCTATGGGGATGGAGTGGTTTTGCGCTGCTCTTTGTGTTTGCGTTGGAGAAAAAAATTTATGGGATGCCTCTGGTGGAACCAAAGAGGATCTCTGCCAAAGAAGGAGATTTCGGAAGAGTCATTAGTGAGAGACGTTATCAAACTCAATATCAGCCCAGAAGCACCATTGCTGGCATTTGAGTGTAGAACGGAAAAGTGCGTATCTTTGGCTCGTTGCTGCCAACAGAAATTTGAGGCAGATCAGCAGATTGGCTTACATCCTTCTCCTTTTTCTTGGGCCCTTTTTTGCAGAAGCAGAATGATCGAGATCTCCCAGATCCATGGCGACGCTGTGGCGGCTGTAGATGA